ATCCCCCCCCCCCCCAACACACACATTAAGATGATTAGTCAGTATAAGATGCTTCCTTAACCTGACATCCACATTCATCTTACTACTTTGGAATTATCCATATCCAGCAACTTGACGGGCGTTTAAAAAATTACATCTGTCAACAGAAATAGTGTCAAATTTAACGTGCAGAGAGGAAGTAAATGGGTAAAACAGAGGTTTAAGAAAGGCCATGAAGAGCTAGCATGGCCACTACTCATGGAGTGGCCAGGAACTTGGAATCTCCTAGGATACTACACTGACCGGCTTGCAAGAATTTTGTCAGAAGTGTGGTGCTTTTGTGATCACTAGAGAGTACTTTCACCTGCCTAGATGAATGGTGATGTGGAGAACAGACTCAATTGAATAAGGCCCAGGTCAACTTAAAGAATGTCATTTGTTTTCCTGGTATGCCTCCCTTTAAGAAGTTCTCCTAGCCTGGGTGGTTCCATATACTATTTCATAGATGTTCTCCTGCAGTGTTGTTTTTAAATCATATTATGCTTTCCTTGGATTTGTTGCTTGCAATTTAAAGAATTCCAAACAACCTTCCTGCTCAAAAGTGAGTTCTTGGACCTTCAGAGCTCTTACAAATGCAAACCCTCAGGCCCTACTCTGGACTACTTGAGCGCAAATTTGCATTTTAACAAGATCCCCAGATGATTCATATACAAGTGAAAGTTTGGAAAGCGCTGCCATAGTTAATTGAAATCTGCCTTTTTTTTTTTTTTAAATGAATTTGGGATTTCCTATACCCGGTTTGTTATGGGTATATAAAAATCAGAATCTCCTGATCTGAAATCTTGAAACCCTTTCTTTCTTGCTACTTCCATCTGGACGCTTGTAAAACTAATCACAATTATTACTTGTACCAAATCTTGAAATATGACAGGAAAATTTCTGTGCCCAGACCTTGGCACAGATGTGTCCATGGATTGATGACTCCATCTCTGTGCTCTCGGCTGGATTTTTGACATTTATCCCAGTGAATCCTCACAGCCACCCTATGTGTAGATTCTTTCTCAGACCCAGTGTTGGCCAGGACCTTTGAGATCCAAGCCTGATGTCTTTCCTCCGCCACTGCACGGTATCACTGTGCCTTGCATGCAGTAGGCCCCAGGAGAATTTTGGAGCTGTTGGCTGTAAATGTTTGTCCGGGATACAGCAGGCCAGTCGTGCTGGTATGATTCTGTACTCCCTTTCCTAGTCCTCACGTTTAGCCTTGCTACTTAACCAGTCTCCACTGAAGTGTATAGCGAACTTAGGACCACGGATCTCGTGCATGGGGCTCCAGGCCTGCCTGGAGTTTGTGCTGGGGTTTGCTCTATGGCTAGGTGTCAGAGCTGGGAAACCAAAAGGATGCCTTCTAGCTTGACATTCTGTTGTGTTCTCTGCCCAAGGAAGGTGTTAATAGGTGAAGGGGAGTGTAAATTTATACGGTGTGTTTTAAGGCTTTCTTTCACTTTAAAAAATTTCACCTCAGGTAGCAGCTGGCAGCGGGTTACTCCACTTCGTAGAGCTCCTGAATTGCAGAATGGAGCCCAGGTGAACAGACGTGCACCATCGGCCCTGATGAGAGGGGCACACGGGGACCAGGGTATTAATTTAAAACGTGAGGGTTTTGCTTCTTAGAGCACCCTTGTTAGCGTGTGCCTTGTGGAGACTCGGGTCTTCAGTGGAAAGAGAGCGTGCGGTGCAGAAGAGTCCCAAGCCTGGGGTTCGAATCGTGGTGCACAGCCTTGGGCAGTAAGTCAGCCCTTCCTGAGAGACCCGGCCTGTGTTCCAGATCCTTTCAAGTGCAGACTGAGCTTACATGGAATCCCTGTGTTTGGCGGGGGTGGCGGGGGGGGGGGGGGGGCGCGACTGCGCGGGTGGGAGCACGTGCTAAGTGCTGTATGTATTATGTATGTAAATGAGTTTAGAGTCACCTGGGGATCTTGAGAAAAGGCAGATTCTGATCCTGTGGGTCTGGGGGTCCCAAGTCTGCATAGTTAACTAGCTTCCTGGGAGGCAAATGGGCCGCACCTTGAAAAAGACTTTACTGGTATTATGATTGTTCCTACTCTAAGGACCATGAAACCAGGGCTCAGAGAGATTAAGTAACCTGCTTGAGGTCACTTACCCCTTGGGGCAGAGCTCAGGCTCACACCTGACTGCTCTGGAGCTTCTAACCAGCCCTCCCTCTGCAGGGCCCCTCCTGGGGTGAGACCTGGACTGGTGCTGGGTCTGTGGTGTTCTCTTTACTGAAAAGAAAAACGTGAGCTAAATAGGGGATCGCTGCCAAGAGTAAGAGAGGGGGGATGGACTTCCCTCCCCACTTTGTCACCTCCCTGCTTTGTGACTTCAGGCAAGTCACCACACTGTGTCCCAGCTGGAAGCCACCTGACCCTTCTGGATTTTAGAAGTCAGGAAAGGACTTTGACCCCCTCTGCGGTAAAGCCAACCCAAGTTATTGTTGAGCCATCTTTCCAGCAACATGCATTGTGGAAGCCGGAGCTGCAGTCCTGGGCCAGGCCACGCCCCTGTCAGGATGCTCACCCACAGCTCCTGCCAGGCCCTGAGGCGAGAGCCCGAGGTTCACCCGCTGCCCCCTTCCTTGCAGTCACCAAGTTGTCTTGTCGTGGGTGAACTCAGCAGGGGAAATGCATCGGAAGCCTGCCCGCTGCTGGCAAGTGCCCAGCGAGGGCAGTGAATTCAAGTGTGACCCTTTGCCCTCCAGGAAGGGTGGGGGAAGCCACAGCCTGGCTTTGCAGTGTGTCCCTGTAGCCGGGCTGGGGAGCTCCGCCTGCTGGACACTTTTCCCCAGCAAGGAGAGTTGTTAGGGAGAGGCCAAGCGTAGGTGGCCTTTGAACACACTAGGAAGGAGCAGTAGGTGAGGCCGGGTGAGGTGGCAC